TTTTTTTTGGTTTTTCTCCGGTACTGGGAACCGAACTCACGACCTTGTGCTTGCCAGGCAGGCGCTTTGCCGCTGAGCTAAATCCCCAGCCCCAACACTGTGGGTTTTGGTGCTGTAGATACAAAGATGATAAGTAGTGTCCAGTGAGCTTTTATTCTACTAAGGGTATCCTTTGTCTCATTTAATTTCCCCATGTGTGCTGCCCCACAGGACGGTGGTGTTCCTAATGTACAGAGTGGGGGCATCTGTCAGACCCAGAAACTGGCCCATGGTTACACAGATAAATAGGAGAGGTCAGAGTCAAACACAGCCCTCTTTGATTCAAGTCCAGCCACAACCTGAATGATATTTTGGCCCAATAAGGTAGTCCTAGAGAATCTCAGTGTAGAGCTACGAAGAAATTATATTACACTGTGATAGACTGAGATGTGTGTACGAGATAGTATGAGAATGGTTCATTTCAAAGGTTAGTGAGCAGTGTGCAAGAGAGTGTGCCCTGACCCGCAGAGATTCGGGAGTTTCCCTGACGCGACACAACTCATAAGCTATTGAGCATGGGTCTCCGGCGTGGAAGCCCATGTGCAAAACTTGGGTGCAGAAGGTAGGGTTTCTTCCCTTAAGGGACAGGAGCTGAGGAGGAAGGAGAAATTAAACTTCCGTCGTCTTAAGCAGCATTTGATTTGATGGATCACTTCCTTCTTCATTTTGGTTTGGAATATTATTGCATCCCTGCTTTTCTTCTACTCCACTGACTTACTTTTTCTGCATCCTCACTCTCTTTCTGGTACACTTTGGGGCCAAGACTTAAGCCCTTTCCTTCTCCCTACTGGGTTGTTTAATCCATTCCCAAGGCTTTAATCCATCCACGTGCTGCTGACTCACACACATATGTGTTTCCCGGTCAATCCCCGAGCTACACACGCTGTGCGTCCAGCAGCCTCACACGTTCTACTTTTAATCAGTCATTCACAGTTAAGTGACCACCACTAAACTCTTGAGTTCGCTTCAAAAACCTGTTTCACTCCCATAACCAATTACCAAGTGTTCTCTACTCTGCCTTCAGAGTACATCCCAAGTCTGACTGCTTCTCACCACCATCATCCCTGTCCTGTGGGTCCAAGCTACCAGCTAGGCTGGACGAACGCACTAATCCTAGCCTGCCTCCCACTTAGGTTTCTACTGGCCTTGAATGTTTCCACAGAGACTGTCAGCGTCTTTTAACACTATGTAGAAACATCCCAAGAGTTTCTCACTATACTCAGCATAACATCCAGGCTTCTTGCTAAGCTCCAGGTCATCCACCGTGCTCCTGCTGCACCAACCTTGCCTTCCTCCCCACACCAAGTTCCTCCTTGTACCAGCCCCTCTACACTTGCCGTCATATTTGCTTGGAACATTGTCTCTGAGATCTTTGCATGGTTTCTGTCTTATCACTTAGGTTCTTGCTCAAATATCACTTCTCTGATTACCCTGTCAGAAATGCCTGTTCTTCTCATCCCAGAACAGCTTTGGACCCGTTCTTTTCCATAGCACTGACTACAACCAGAGATGACTTGTTTTTCTCCTTTCTCCCCATACTTGAATCGAAATTCAGGAACAGAAACGTGTCTGTCGTGTGTCCTGCTGCATCTCTGGCAGCTCATGTAGTGCCTGGCACATAGTAAAGTAATGCGATAATGAGCCCGTGGACATTTTAGCTCTGCATTTAGATCCTGCAAAAGGTCTGACTGCACCGTTACAGAATAAGATATAAGCACACGTGTGATTTAATACTTTCCACTGGCTACATTAAAAGAGTGAAAAGAGACAGATGAAATTAACTTTAATAATACATTTTATCTAAGCCAACGTGCCCAAAATATTGGCATTACAACAAATAAGACTAAAAATATTGTACGTTCTCCTTTTTTGAACTAAGAATTCAAATTCTGGTGGGCGTTTTACAGTGAGAGCCCATCTGAATTCAGACTGGCCAGTGTCCCGTGCGCCGTAGCCACATGTGGCTAGTGGCTGCCACAGTGATGCAAGGGTAGGTGGCCTAACCTCACTGTGGTCTCTACTTCTGGGGGATTTTGAATGGCAGGAAGGTAGAAACTTATGGCAGGAGAAACAGGGTCTCAGCTACCCATTTCCTGTCCCTCTCCCAAAGAAGCTGTGAGAATGTCCTGGCGCACGGATGTCTGAGCAGATCCTTAGAAGAATAAGATGATCACTGAGCTAATCTATGCCAAACACTTCCTACAATCTCATTTGATTGGTCACAACAATCCCACTTTATAGCTTCAGATACAGGTCCAGACAGGCAGTATAACTTCTCCAAATGTACGCCGCTGGTGTTCGAGCTGGGACGAACGGTTGATGGTTGGCTCAAAAGTGAAGGAGCTATCATAAGCATTATGCTAAAAAGTAGCATCATGGTTTTTTTAGCCAAATAGTTTTTAGCACAGCAGAGAAATTGAGAGAAGCAGTAATGACGGAAAGGAGTTGGCCTGACTCTTGGACTTCGTTTTGCATCACACCTCTGCCTCTGTCTAGTTCTGCTCTTTAGTTTCTCAGATACCCGAGATCTGACTTTAGTGTTAGGCTATTTCTAGGTCTCAGCTCTGCTAACTTATTTTTTATTTTATTTATACATGTATTTATTTTTGTGCTGCGCCTGGAACCCAGGGCTTTGTGCATGTTGGACAAATGCTCTACCGCTGCGCTACACCCTCAGTCCAGCCCCAGAAATGAATAATGGTGTTATTCTCAGCAGAGGGAAGTACTTGATACATTGTTTTCTCTTCTGTGGAAAGAATCGCTGCCACCAACCTCAGGGCCAAAGACCCAGTGAGGTGAGGACCGCCTCTTACAGCAGCTAAGCACAGCGCCCGCTGCCGGCCGCCTCAGGAGGTGCCAGGTCCAGCCCTCCTCGTCTCTTACCGCAAAGTGTCTTCAGCTCTTTCTTCCGTTCCTGCCCTGAGCGGACTGCACGGTGGTGTCCTAGGGTTCTTGCTGCTGTCTTTAGCCAGAGGGCAGGCTGGCACCTGAGGGGAGGGGAGGGTGGGAATACCTCAGAACTGGCGGCTGAGGACGTACCCAATACTAGACAGTTTCTCTCCAGAGCGCACTATCCATCCGTCCGATCGCCAAATACGGGCACATGCGGATGCGCTTCCTTCATCCCTCGGCCCGGCTCTCGCCCGCCCTCGGGTCCCATCTCACGCTGGCCGCTTCCGCTCCCTTCCTGGCCCTGGCCCTGGCCCTGGCCCTGGCCCTGGCCCTGGCCCTGGCCCTGCCTGTCATACAGCATGGCAGATCTTCCTCCCAGGGGCTGACAGTGAGCTTTCTGAAACAGCTCGAGCAGGTCACATCCCAATTTAAAAGTGTCTTCAGGATTGATTGAGTCCGAAGTCTCAGCCGTTCATCCATCTGACAAGTATTACTGCGTGCCTAAGCCACTCTTAACAGGCGCAAGGAACAGCGGCCCAGCAAATACACCAGAAGCCTGCCCTTCCAGGGGCGCCTTACCTCGTGGACCCCAGGCTCGCTTGACTGCCCACCTCCCACGCCAGCCACGCCCGCGGGCTCTGACTTGTCACCCGTGCGTCCCGCTAGCCTCGCCACCGTGAAGATCACAGTGCCCTCCCTGGGTCCCCTCCGTGGCCTGAGCCCTAGGGCGTCCCTTGAAGGCCCCCCACCCCCACCTCCACCCCCAGGTGGCCCCGGCCGCAGCCCCGCGGCCCCTCCCCTCTCCCGGGATTGTGAGCTAAGAGTGGGTGGTGAGCCGGGCTCCCCGAGCGACTGCGCGCCCTCATCTGGGCTGGTTCCCCTACCACAGGCGGCTGGGGAGGAGTGCACCGTCCTGCCCGGGAATGCCCCGTCCCAAGGTGAGCCCCGCAGGGTTTCTGAGCTCCAGGGAGGGTGCGGGCCCGGGGAGAGAGCTTAGCTCCGGGCGGCCGCGCCCGCCCGCCCGCCCGCGTGGGCCCAGTGCTGTCCTGGTGGCTGGGACAAGCGCTTCTCCAACAGAACACTGTCTCCTCACACCCCGGCCCGCTGTCAGACTCCAGCTTCTTGAGAGTGCCACTTGCGCCTTGTTCTTCTCTCTGTCCCCCAGACACACAGGGCCTGTCACAGAACAGGCATCAGGAAAAATTAAAGTAGAAAGATGCTGTGCCTGGTGACAAAAGCCTGTAATCCCAGCACTTGAGAGGCTGAGGCAGGAAGACTGCAATTCAAGGCCAGCCTGGGCTACATAGTGAGACGTGGTCTCAAAAGAAAAAAAGAAAGAATACAAGGAAGCTGAGAAGAACGTGCGGGGTGTGTTGGAAGGGCTGGGTTACTGAGAGTTCACCTGAGGAGGTCACACCGAGAGGGTTAGAAGCTGGGTAGACAAGGCTGAGTGCAGGACTGGGGATGTAGCTCAGTGGTGCGGTGCCTGCCTAGCATCCATGAGGGCCTGAGTGTGACAAACGCGGACACCTTCTATTGCAGGCCTCATGCTGGGCACAGGCGACCCGGGGCTGCACTCATGCACCCACCGGAGCAAGGGAGGAAGACAAGGTAGGCAGTGCCACTACACAGTGCCAGATGTCACAGGTGAGCACAGGAGATGCGGCCGATAGGGAGGAGTGCCTGCTGGCTCCACAGGGGGCCAGGAAACTTCCCAGGGTGGGGTGCCAGAGAGGGCTGGGGGGCCGAACAGGGCTGGTGGCCGCACGCGGGAGCTGCACCCCATCCTGAGGGCCTTGAAGAAGCTGGCGTGTGACTGGAGCAGCTGCTGCAAGCCAGGCAGGCCACACCTCGGCTCTGACCGCTCCTGAGACCCACCGCCACCGTGGCTGTCCCCTTCCTGTCTCCTCTTCTGCACAGGGATGGGTGCCTCTGCTCGACTGTTCTCGAGAGAGGACTCCGGGTCTGACTCTGAGTCCCAAGCAGTGAGCTCCAGGTCTTGCTCCTGAGCAGATGCTTGCCGAGCGCATGGGTGGATGTTCCTATTTCCGTGGATTTCCACAGCCCTTGCTTTTGAGTCCACACACTTTGATGCCTGGGACTGTGCATTGTGCCTGCCAGCTGCCTTCAGCTGGGAAACGGGACCGTATGGAAGTCCTGGCTCTGCTGTACGGGCACAAGTCCCTGAACCGTGCTGAAACCTCCATTCCCCATCTGTAAGATGAGGTGCTACCGTGAACAGTCTCTGCGTCTCGGCGTGCGTGTGCGAGTCTCATTTTCCTGGGTAGGCTGTGAGTTCCTTGAAGGCAGAGACCCAGGGTTCTGCCTGTTGACTGGTGGAGCAGTCACAGAGAAAAAAGCACCAAAGGCAAAGCTGTCAGGCTTGTCCTGCCGCATCCCATGTGACCTTGAGCTAGGTCGGTCTTTAGGTGGGTCTTCCCTTCTCTGAGTGTGCTTTGCTCTACTTGGAAGGAGGGATAACAACCCTTACCTGGCAGAGCTCACTAGGCCGATGGGAATCCTAGGCCTGATAGCACTTTGTGAGTGGAGGAGATGTAACAGATGATTGAACCTTAATTAAAAATAAATCAGCAATATGTGGTCACTGGAAGAGTGACTCCGGGCACCTGCTTTCAGGCTCTGACAGGCAGAGAGCCTGGGATGCTGTTCTGCCAGCAGGCAGTGCCGAGTGAGGCGGTGCCTGGCTCGGTGACAGAGGTTCTCTGGTGTGCTAAGGACAGCCCTGAGTCCCAGGAGAGGTGACAATAGTGGGTCCATAGGGAGGGATTATGCAGCCAATGCTTTGCCCCCTTCCCCCAGCATGCCAGGGCATGTCCTGTTTTCTGTTGTGGGTTTTGGGGGCCCCTGGCATAAATGGTCAGGTTAGTTCGCACACCGTTGGCCACACCGCTGTTGATTCCCTTTCGTGAATGAGGCTGCCTATGGGAGAGTGAGCCCCACCATAGTGCCCTGAGAAAGTCCAAGCCTGAGCCCAAGTCCAGCAGGATTTGTGTCAACTCTTGCTCAGACCAGAAAGGCCAGGAGCTGTAGAGAGGGCTCTCTGGGGACACAGCCTGTACCTAGGGGACTCTGGGACTTCCCGACCTTGGAAACCTCTTGTCCCTCTCTCCTGGGCCCCAGGTCAGTGCAATAGTCTCTCCCTGAGATATGACCAGAAGCACCTCAAGATAAATGAATTTTCCTGGAAGGATGTTGCCACTGCCCTGTCCCTGGCTAACATAGTCCTGGGGCTCTTCTCCATCTTTTGCAGCTTCAGCAGGTACGTCTAGGCCCAGCACGCTCCTAGCCAAGAGCTGGAGCCTGTGGCCTGAGGGAAGTGGCGGGGCAGTCTAGAGAGCTGGGTGCCACGGCCGGGGATCAAGGGGGGTGGGGGACGCAGGGGCTCTCGGGTCTGGGGCCAAGGGTCTGGCCTCCGTGTCTCACCAGCCTGGTGTACGACCTCGACTGGGTGACATCCTTGGGCCTCAGTTTCTCCTTTTGTAAAACAAGGTGCTTACATTATGATCTCTACTGTTCCTTTTGTGATGGGCACATCAAATGGTTTTTTGAGAAAGTCAAGAGATTCTGTCCACTGTTTATATTTTCTGATTCTTAAGTCAGAATACATGACTTGGCAGAACATTTGAATTAGCACTGTTTGGAAAAGTGTGAAATACATACATCTTCCCCCAAAAAGTTGTAAACAATTTATCGTTCCATAATTTGAATCCTATTTCAGTGCCTTTGGGAAATCAGTTTCTTTAAAGATAGATCTTTTACAATGCATAACAATCTATTTGAGTCTCTGTAGCTATCCGCAAGTGATTTATTTCTGGATCTGTTTCTTGTCTGTATGATGAAATGACTTGACTTGATGATGCTCAAGCTCCTGCCTAGGTTGAAATTTCTATGATTCTCTGAGTGTAGATTATTGGAATCTAAGAAAGTGGCAGGGGGCATACCCACAGCAGAAAATCTCTTATCTTTTTAGCTCAAACAAATCATCTACAGTATGGTTTTCATTCCATGGTGGAAGGATCAGTATTTTTATTTAGCTTAGTCTCTATTAGGACTGGGTCCAAATAAGAGAAATTCTAAGGCAGTGTGGGGACAGCCAACGTCTGAGGTCAGGCTCTCTTCTGCTTCTATGGGGCCACCTAATCATTGCTATCAGGGTGCAGACTTGCGAATGGGCCTCCTAGGGGCAGGCTGGCTTGGGACTGTAGTGGTTACTTGCAGAGTATCTTAGGAATGTGTGCTGGGCAAGGGCACAGAGTCTAAGAATGTAGGGTCTCAGCCATGCATGGTGGCACATGTCTGTAATCCTAGCACTCAGGAGGCTGAAGCAGGAGAATCGCTGTGAGTTTGAGGCCAGCCTGGGATACTTAGTGAGTTCAAGGCTAGCCAGAACTGCATAGTGAGACCCTGTCTCAAAAAA